CATGGGACTGTCATTCCTTGGTACATTACCTATGCCGTTGTGAAATCAGATCAGTGCGGTTCAGCTGTAGCACCCTTTCGGAGCCTAACTGCTACGCCACACGAGGGCTGGGATACTGCCCAAGCCTAGACAGGGGAAGTCGAGGGGTGGAAGTCGGGTTCGAACCATGGATGTTCCGGCCAGTAAATAAGCGCTCTAACCACTTGGGCCGTCTAGCCCAGTGCGGTACTTAGCACTGAAATCCCTCATGGTGCCTTGGGTGTGTACCCAACAAGTACCTCATTTCTGAAGATCACGGTCGTCGTGTGGGATAAGGTGACACATCGCCAGAGAAGACAGAGTCTTGGGCGTCTACTCAAACGAAACCTAGGAGAAACTGGAGATCAGTATAACTGAAACGGATAGTGTAATTGGAAATACCCATATTTTCCAGTGCCTACGCGAAGTACTGCTAAGAAGACCCACCGTTGGTGATTTGATCAGTTGTATTTGAGACTCGGTACACAACATGAGCCGGCGGTTAAACTCGAGACAATATTTCCAGCGATTGTTTGGCTTTTTTTTTTGCACCGTTACCTCTATTTTCTACCCAGACAGCTGGATCTGAGCTTCATTCTTGAAGGAGGCACAGGTGTTGTGCTGTTTTGGAGATTTTTTTGATGGGTTCGGACATTGTCCGGCCAAATCTACTTGGGCAGCACTGTTTGTCGGGACGTGCCGCGATCAGTGTGCGGATTGAAGGGCATAAAACTGTAACCCAGGATGAATAGATGCATGATAACACCATATTTATCGATGTTTCAGTTCACAACATTGTTCTTGCTGATTTTAGAGTACATATTCATGATAAATTATATCGCTTCACGGTTTTACTTGACTTTAGCTCGGGGGCATAAAAATTCCCCTTTCCTCGTGGTCTGTTATAGAGACAGAGATGACCACCATACCGGTTCAACGTAATCACCAATATGTGCCAAAGGTACACGAGAGCAATGAATATGTGCTTTGTCTCACAATATGAAGTTATATATCCCATCCCGTGCTAAAAACCGCTTGAGACACCCTACATAAGTAA